TCTCAGTTTAGTCCTGGTTAAGTCTCGTTTTGGTTCTGGTTTAGTTCTGGTTTAGTCCTGTTTTACTGTCATTTTAGTCTCGTTCTTGTCCTAGTTTAGTCCTGGTTTTGTTTCATTTTAGTCCTGGTTTAGTGTCGTTTGTCTTGTTTTAGTCCTGGTTTAGTATCATTTAAGTCCTGATATAGTACTGGTTTAGTCTTGTTTTAATCCTCGTTTTCGTCTCATTTTAGTCTTGTTTTAGTCCTGTTCTAGTCTTATTTTTGTCTCATTTTAGTCTTGTTTTAGTCCTGTTCTAGTCTTATTTTAGTCTCCTTTAAGTCCTGGTTTAGTCTTGTTTTAGTCCTGGTTTAGTCTCATTTTAATGCTGGTTTAGTCCTGATTTAGTTTTGTTTTTGCCCTGGTTTAGTCTTGTTTTAATTCTCGTTTGAGTCTTGTTTTAGTCTCATTTTAGTTCTGTTTTAGTCCTGTTCTAGTCTTATTTTAGTCTCATTTTAGTCCTGTTTTAGTCCTGGTGTGTGTGTGTCGAGATTCCAGCCGCTGGTCTTCCTCTGTCACAAATCCAATCGCTCTCACATGATCTAATATTAAAACAACATTCTTATCAAGAACAATCTGTACTCTCTTTTTCCCCAAACATTGACACACCTGCAGTGTACACAACCACACGCCGCTGACAGAAATGTACCAAATAAACACAAAAGTCCATTTACAGTTTATTAATGCTGATATCGACACTGGGGGATTGAGTAAGTGCTCGATACCGATTACAATACCACAATTTTTTATTTGTTTGATTTGATTTTTAATAACAGAAGGTAGTTTTGATACTTTATTTTTGCATATTTGTCTTATATTTGCTCAAAATGACACAAAAACTGCTCAGAAAAGTTTTGTTTTTGACCTTTTTTTTGTTTGTTGCTGCATCGATACTTGCACAAATGAGTACCTTGGTTCAGTATTAGTTTTAGTCTTGATTAGGATCAGATTTTTGATACTTTATACAACTCTACCTCCTATCACCAAGCATTTTAAATTCAAAATGCTCAAAAACATACAAAAAATAAACATAAATAAATAGATAAATAATTAAAAAGTTACTCCAGAGTCGATAAGCCTCAGTCAAACGTTGAACTTTGAACTTTTTTTTTTTTTTGTTTGGGTTTTTTTTGTTTTTTTTGTGGGGGGGCCTTTACTTTTGTAATCAACCCACATTTTTTTTTTTTTTTTTTTATTCACATTCCAATCAAGAACAGACCGTACTTCCCTCCCACATCCACACACCTGAGTTCATGCACTTTACAAAGAGTTTCCTGTACAGACAAACCAGGCTCCGGTTTAGTTTTCTGCTCTCCGAGATCAGTTCTGTACTTATATTTACCGTACTTCTGCAAAAATATCACAATATCTATATATCGTGATGCTAATTTGGTGATACAGTATTGTTATAATGGATGGCTGTATTGACAAGACAAGAGTATTTTTGGTATCTTTTTGTTTTTTTTCTGATCACATGATAATTTTGCTGCTTATTTAGTTGAAGGAAACTTGTTTATGCAGTACACTCGACTTATTCACTGTTTTGATGATTAAAGTAGAAGTAGTGATTTAACATAGAAATATTGTGACTAAAATGTGTCTGGTTCTTAAAAAAACAGCAAAATGTCAGAGTTTCAGATTTGTGTATCACATGTATCACCATATCATGATAATTAGTGTTGTAGTCAAAACAATGGACTAATCAAGACCAAGACCAGTCCGAGACCACAGGGTCCCGAGACCTAGACCAGACCCAGACTTTTAAAAGCAGAGATCAACAAAAGACTGAGACAGTTTTACAGTTATTTTGGCACATGTGTGTCAGTGTTTTTAATAAATCTATCTCCGTTTTCTTACTCGTCGAGTGTCAAACCTTCAAGACCGAGAGAAGACTGAGTCCAAGCACTTTCAAGACCATGACAAGACCGAGTCCAAGCGCCTTCAAGACCATGACAAGACCGAGTCCAAGCGCCTTCAAGACCGAGACCAAGCGCCTTCAAGACTGTGAAAAGACCGAGTCCAAGTGCCTTCAAAACTGTGACAAGACCGAGTCCAAGTGCCTTCAAGACCGAGACAAGACCGAGTCCCAGCGCCTTCAAGACCGAGACAAGACCGAGTCCCAGCGCCTTCAAGACCGTGACAAGACCGATTCCCAGTGCCTTCAAGACCGTGACAAGACCGAGTCCCAGTGCCTTCAAGACCGTGACAAGACCGAGTCCCAGCGCCTTCAAGACCGTGACAAGACCGAGTCCCAGCGCCTTCAAGACCGTGACAAGACCGAGTCCCAGTGCCTTCAAGACCGTGACAAGACCGTGACAAGACCGAGACCAAACGCGGTCGAGTCAGACGAGACCAAGAAGACAAAAAAAAAACGGTCTTGAGGCTAGTCTTGAGACCAAGATCGGTCTCGAGTACTACGACACAAGTGATAATATCTTGTCGTGAGCCGTGTATCGTATCGAATTGTGAAGGACCTTGTGATTCTCAACGTTAATATTTACGTCTTGGCACCACAGACGTCACCTTGTGAAAGAATTTGGAGCCGGGCTGTACTTTATGAATAGGATTTTTTTTGACGGACAAAATAGCGAAAAAAAACAACAACACCAGGATCACGTAGAGCAGGTTAATACGAACATTTTAAGACCAAAACGACGAGGCTCACAGCAGCAGGTACAGAGAGAGGAGCCACAATATTCTAATGGAAGTCAATGGGAGCCAAAATCAGAAGGAGCTGGAAAATCCCACTTACAAACTTCCTTTTTGTGCATGAGCTATGACCATTTATACATACAGTCTAAACTTGGCACCTGGATTCCCCGCTCCTCACTCCTCCTCACCCTCATCCCTCTCTTCCTCCTCCTCTTCCTCATAACAGCGCATTGATAAACAAAGCGGGGCTGCCAAGTTGACTTAGTTTGCAGATTACCGAGATTACGGTAACTAAGCCCGAGTCACGTCTCATACGGGCGGACGTGATCTGTCAGTTCAAGGAGAGGTTTAATGAAATTGGGAATTCATTTAATGCGAAGGACTAAAATAAAACACCAACATGAAAAATATGTAGCGGTAGGTAGGACTCAGTAGAAGTTACCTTTAAAAACTGATTAATATTTAAAAACTCCATGGTCAAAAAAGGTATTACGCAATCAAACTGGCTTATTTTCCAACATTGCGATTGCAGGTTTGTTGATCCATTCGTATTCAGCTCAAAATTTGTGGACATATTATTTTTCTTCTTTAGATTTTCATAAATATACAAAAGCAGGATCCACAACAAGACACTACAACTTCACAAATCTGATGCGATGAGCAGAAGTTTTAAAATGCCAAAAACAAAACTGAAACTATACGTCGTTTTCGGTGAATATTTCATTTTCAAAACAATAAAATGTAACATGATGATCTAAATATGCTGTGTGCTGATATTTAATAGCCAACAGAAGTGTAATAATCCCCAAATATGAAACCATTTAAGCAAAAGTATAAATATAAATAAATATAAATTATAGCAAAATTTGTACGTAGAAGAATAAACTTGGAGACCCTAACTTTTTTGGTAGAAGGTTCGTCAAATAGTTTCTGGAGATGTTATTGCTTTGTCCCGAATGTTTCACAGAATGTTATTAAACCTTTCTATCTTCATGGAGACCAAACCAGACCAAGTTACAGGTCAGATCTGTGGAGAGGTGACGCCTGCTCACAGTCAGAATGTCTGTTTTTCTAGGTATTTTTGAGCTATAAAACCACCTGTACCATATTTTTTGTACTATAAAGTGCAACGGTTTATAGGGCGCAATATCAATAATGTTAAATTTTCTCATCTATTTTCATACATAATGTTCACCGGATTATAAGGTGCATTAAGTGAAACAAAAGGGTGACACTTGAGACTTTTTGATTTCCTATGAGGAGAATACACAATTATTTATACAAAATATACATTGAGTAATAATGTGTTTAATGGAGCTTTGCGCACATTTGTTTACGTTTTACAGAAGCGAAACTTAAAACCACATGACGAATTTGCATAAACTATAAGCACTGAAAAACAGCTCGCTCCTTGTGCACTGATGTGGTTCAGCTTGTGTCGAACTAAAGAACACGACTCAGTGGAATATATGTGAAAATCGGTTTGAGATCAGTAAGCAAAACCAGAATTAATACATAAGGCGCACTGTAGATTTTTGAGAAAATTAAGGGATTTCAAGTGCGCTTTATAGTCAGAAAAATACGGTAATTAAATAAATGTAATATAGAGTTGTTTAATGTCATACTGTGGAATATTCTACACAGAGCAATAACATATCCATAGAAACAAGCAGGTGACAAACCCTCAACAAAAAAGTTCTTACGTATGGAAAACCTTTGCAGTAAACTTGGTAGAGTATGGTCCAATAAGGTTCATTTGGTCTTCCGATAATTTATGTTATTTGGTTCTTTTTTCAGACCATGAGTTTGTTTTCATACTTGACAGTTTCGTCACGTGATGTTGCTGTGACGTGTCCGGTTAGCTGATTTAAAGTTTTGGTGCTGAGGGGGCTTTTTTTACTCTCACACACCTGGGATACTGTCCTGAGGAAGTCGGACTGCAGATGGCGCTGTCCTCCTGCCTCCACTGGTAGGAAAACAGCGCCAAAACCTGTTTATATCAGCTGACCGGACGCATCACAGCAACATCACGTGACCACTCTGAGGAAAACGAAACTGTCAAGTATGAAAACAAACTCTTGGTCTGGCAAAAGAACCTAAAAACATATCGGTAGAGTATGGCAGAAGTTTGATTATTGTTGCCATGGTAAAACGGAGTGAGGGCAAATAAGTATTTTCTTCTCCGCACTCCTTTTCAGAATTGTTGAGTTGAAGTAAACGTGTCCTTGAAATGGCCTAACCCACATACTGACGGCATTTAAATAGCATGTGCTGCCGATAGTTATTTTGGTTGGTGGTTTGGAGCTCCTTACCAGTGTGGATCTGCCGGTGGGCCTCTAGGGACTCCTCGGTCTGGAACTGGGCACCGCACTGGTCACACACGATGGCCTTCTCACCAGCTGAACACACACAAACACAGAAGATGGGACATTAGTGAAAGTGATACAACTGTGTGCTGATGACTTTTTAAACAACATGGAAACGCAGTCAGGTTATGTTCACGTGTACACCGAAATCTATCCGAGTATCTGATTTCTGGACGTCCTAAATTATGCAACACTGACTGTTGTGAGTGTTAAGTAATGTTATAATGATGTTACCGTGTCAAAAATAGACCTGGAGTTGTGTTTTGTTTCATTCACACATTTGATTATCGCTTTGTTACTAGTCTGTATATTAGTGCTGTAGTCAAGACCACAGGAATCGAGACTAAGACCTGTCCGAGACCACAGCGTCCAGAGACCAGGTCTAGACCAAGACCAAACTGAGTCTGAGAAGAGACGAAGACTTTGAGGGCAGTCTCGACACCAAGAAAAAACGGTTCTGGGGACAGTCTGGAGACCAAGACCGGTCTGGAGTACTACGACCCTAGACCGAGTCTTGAGCCATGTATCGTGTATTGTGGGACCGAGACAAGACCAAGACCACCCCCCATCTAGATCAAACTGAGACCATCTCTGTAATTTTCTATATTTATTTGTATTTTACAGTTATTTTGGCACATATATATGAATGTTTTTATAAATCTATCTCCATTTTCTTACTCAGATCTTTGACCTTCAAGATCGTGACAAGACTGAGACGAGACGAAGACCGTTTTGAGGACTGCAAAAAAACTGTCTCGAGGCCAGTCACGACACCAAGACTGTTAAAAAAAACGGTTCCGAGGCCAGTCTGGAGACCAAGACCAGTCTCGAGTACTATGACACTAGAGATAATATCATGTCGTGAGCCATGTATCGTGTATCATATTGAATTGTAAGACCAAAACAAGACCAAGACCACAGCCCATCGAGACCAAATTGAGTCCATCTTTGTTCTATTTTCAACATTTATTTGGATTTTTCAGCTATTTTGGCATACATATATCAGTGTGTTTTATAAATCTATCTCCATTTTCTTACTCATTGAATGTCAGATCTCGAGACCGAGACAAGACCAAGTTCAAGCGCCTTCAAGATCGAGACAAGACCAAGACCACGGCCCACTGAGACCAAATCAAGATCATCTTTGTAATTTTCAACATTTATTTGTATTTTACAGTTATTTTGGCACAAATATATCAATGTTTTTATATGTTATATGTATTACAACACTACTGTCTATACCACCAAATTTCAAAATGTTCCACCTTGTGATGTCATGTAGTGGTAGTTTTCAAGTTAGCAGCTACATTTTACCTTATGTTCTGTTGATTTCTTTTCAATTCCAAGGTTGAAATCATCCAAATGATTCTAGTGAAGTTGTATGTTTAAAAACACAGTGGAGCACATCCTGAATTATCACAAAGAGGAGTGTTTTTAGTTTGAGAGAAGAACTCAGTCTAAATACACAAGGTTTGAGTGTTAAACATGTGTGAATGAAAAAAAAAACCCCACACAACTCCAGGTCTGTTTTTGATGAGAAAACTTTACAACAGAGATAGATCAATCATAAAAGAACATAATATGGGTCATTTAAATAACATACAAACTACAAATAACCAGAAATAAATGGGCTGATTTTGCTGTTTACATGTTATAATCGTCCTATAATAGTTTTATAACTCCAAAAATGTGATAATAATCTGAGTTTGAGTGCGCATGCAACCACAGCTCGTGATCCTCTTGGGTCTACAGCCAGTCCTCCATGTGGTTTGGAGCTGAGTTCAGAAGAAATGTGGCTATTTTTTTGGTCAAAATGTTGCTTTGTTTACGTTAACGAAACAAATATTGAAAGCCGTTTTTATTTGTTTTTAATATAGCTAAATAAATAAAAAAAATGTGGATCGATCAAACGCAGTGATTCATATTTTGTCATATTCTCCAGGCCTCGACAGTGGGAGATGAAACAGAGAAAAATGGAAAACAGTTTAAAAGGTTTATGTAAATAAGACAAGACGGTTTATTTTAGCATAAACAGACAAAAGAACAAACTGAACAAAACATGGAGAAAAAGACTGTTGATTTTGATTTCGAGATTTTGTTTCTGTTTTGTCGAGCCAGCGGGTCGACTCGTCCAAAACTGTACTCAAATGTACTAGATACTACTTTTTTTTGTTTTAACTAAAAGCAGACAAAGTAGTGGTCCAACTAATTTAATTTTTCAATTAAAAAGTAAAAAAATAGGAGTAACTGTAAAGAGTAATTGTAAAAGTAACATAAACATCTGATTGACAGTTTGAATTTAATGTTATTGTAAGGATTTTTATGGGCCAGTATCGTATTTTTTCCCCATATATCTTACTAAAACATGTACTGTATAAGCAGCTGTGTACTATCTGCGTCTAATTATATCGTCCGATAATCAGGAAGTGCACTGATTAGCATGCTAGTCCCATTCTGACTCCAAAAAGTTGTGAAAAGCGCTTCTAAAGTAACTTCTGTGAATGATTGGATGCTTAGAATGCGTAAAATTAACCAGTTCTGTTTTCACGATTTTAAAAGGTGCGTTCTGAAATGTTTCACAGTGCGGCATTAAACTTATCCATCTTCCATTCATTTAATTATGGTTGTTTTTATTGCTCAAAGTACACGTAAACCTACAGTCAGAAGGTCATCCTTGACACAGATCTGACCGGTATTTCGTCTGATGGCATCTCTTGCTTCTTTCCATGGAGATAGTCAAGTATTTTTTCTACGGGGCGACATGAGAAACAGAAAATATTGTGGAGGGCCAGGCCAAAACTCTTAACTCCACTCAATTCTGCATAATATCAATTGTATTTCTTTGTAAAAAGCAGTAAATAACATTGTTTTGACAAGTTGGTAAGAATACCGTATTTTTCAGACTATAAAGGTGCACTTAAAATTCTTAAATTTTCTCAAAAATCGACAGTGCGTCTTATGTATTAATTCTCATTGTGCTTACTGACCTTGAACGGATTTTATGTGGTACACGGCGCTCAAAAATCTGTCAAAATCGCTCTTTTTTCAGTGCTTATAGTTTATGCGAATGAGCCATGTGGTTTAAGTTTTGTTTCTGTAAAATGTAAACAAATGTACGCAAAGCTGCATTAAACACATTATTACTCAATGTGTATTTGAGTCCTTGTAGGAAATTAAAAAAAAATTAAAATAAAAAATTTAATTATCCACCCACATTCACATTCATAATACACATTCACCAAGACACCTGGTGCGAAAAATACAGTATATGTTTTGACTAAGCAATGAAAAAGTGAGGTTGCCTTAAAAACACCTTTAAAATAAAAGCAATGCAGCTTTAGTCCATGCATGAGGTAAAATTATAAAACATGTTTATTTTGTAATTCCAAATTGAGCTTAAACGGGCTGGTCAGAGTCAACCAAAGGGCCGTACGTGACCTGGGAGCTGCACACTGCCCACGTCTGTGCTATACTGTAAAATATTCCAAGCAAAACAATTACACCATCCACGAGAAAAGCAGAAATTGTTTTTTTTGTTTTTTTCCCTCAAAGAATACACCACAAAGAGTGAAAAACTAAAAGGTCGCAAGAGATTTTTTTTTTGGGTCGCCTTGTCACGATCTGCTTGTAGGTTGAAATGTTAAGACGTGTTTTGTATAATTTCTGGGGGTTTTTGTAATTATTTTATTGACTATTTTGTTCCGATATTGTTGGTTCAGTTGAATGCTGAAAAGAAAAAGAAATGGGCTACTTTTAATATCCAAAAAGGAAACTTACGGATCCTTTTATTGTTGGTTAATTTACTGTTTAAAACTTGAGTAATACTAACAGTTCAGAGACACGAACACTCAACAATAAAATATCCTCATTATTGTTCAAAAATGGTCAAATCTAGCTTTATTTAGTGATTTATGAATCATTCCCAATGGTTTGTGACTTTTAAAATGTGGGAAACACTGCAATAGAGTATAAAAAATGCAAATAACAATAGTTTACGCTACGTCATATATTTCACTTTGAGCTCCGGTCCTCCAAAGCACGTTGGGACTGATGACACGTGAACGCGCTCGTTATGCGATGCTAATGCTAAAGCGGTTCATGGGAGCCCGGGGCCCCGCCTGTGCGGAGCTGAGCAGGGGCCACGGCGTACAGATCACAACACGCGCGAGCCTCTCCAAGGTTAAGTGGCTGCTTCTGCCGCTAATGCCGCCATATGCTCCTGTGTGCATTTGACACAAGCGCGCCATATGCCGACGCGAGCGAAGGCGCGACGTACTCTAACGCTACAGATAATGAATTAATGAGGACTGAAGTGGGACGATCAGAGCAACTACTGTTTTTTGTTGAAGTATGTGTGACTCTGATATGCTTATTTATATTAAAGCGCACGTATTTAAGGTGACTAGACGTCGCTTTTTACACGGGACAGTCCCAGTTTTGAGTCAAATTCATCCAAACCCATTTATTTGTCTCAGTTTTATTCAAAAAATGTCCCTGGTGTCCTTATTTTCGACCAAATTTGATCCCTGCCGACACTAACAAAAGGCGTACATTGACTTTTGTTGACGTAAAATACAGAAAAGCCGCTTAAAAACAACCAAAACACAAAGAAAGTGACTATACTGACTCATATGTTAGTCATGAATGGGCCAAGTGCAGAACAATTTTCCTCAATTACGCACTTGTTTCACAATTTAATTATTACCAGCCGCCCCAAACTGAGGGTGTCCCAGTGTTTGATTTTGAAATTCTGGTCACCCAATCCATATTACACTATTTTCTGACTATGTTATAATTGTTTCTTCAACAAAAACAGACCTTGAGTTGTATTTTGTTTCAGTCGCACATGTTTAAAACACAAACCCTGCAGATTTAGTTCTTTTCTCAAAACTAAACGGTGTTTTTAGACTCCATACACCTTCAGTAGAGTCATTTAGATGACTTAAACTGTGGTTCTGGACTTTTGCGCCACATAAGGACTCAACCAGGACTAAAACGGAACCAAACCAGGACTAAAGCAGGACTAAAACAGG